TAAAAAGCGAAACAGGGTTGCCGTTTTTCCTTTCAGCATGGCCTCTCTTGTCGCCGACGATGCGAAATGCGTGGCAGGAATGGGGCGCGGCGCGCATCGCGCGCGGACTTCTGGGGCAACCCCAAGGCGATAGGGGCCACCTTACTTGTCAGAAGCAATGCCATGCTGATTTTCCCTGCCCGCATAGATGTTCTTGTCGTCCACCCCGCAAAAGTGCATGGCAAGAATTGGGCGCGCCCCCCCCCCCCGCTCGAAGTGAATGAAATGACCTTCTCGTTTGGGCGCCGAGCGAAATTGTCTCAAAAGTTGCGCTCCCGCTTTGGCTCGGCGCACGTTTTAAGCTCGCCAATTCATTGGGCGCTGGGGCGTTCCAGGAGGCCCTGGGGTGACGAACGCCTGGGAGGTTTTTGCCTGTTCAAGCTCTTGGAGGGTCTCCTGAGGCTCCCCGCGGCTTCTTGGCGCTACGGCCGTCTGGAGGCCATCTTGGGCGTCTTGGAACGATCTTTCGGCGACTCCGGGCTACTACTACTACTACTACTACTACTACTACTACTACTACTACTACTACTACTACTACTACTACTACTACTGCTACTGCTACTACTACTACTACTACTAACTACCACTACTTACATACTTACTACTTACTACTACTACTACTACTCATCATTCTCACTATACACTACTACTACTACTACTCCTACTCTACAAACTGCTCCTACTGATACTGGCTACTGCTTTACTGCTACGCTATGCTACTGCTATGCTACTGCTTTACTGCTACTGCTACTACTACTGCTACGGCTATGCTACTACTAGAACACTACCTACTAAACGTTACTAATTTACTAGTCCTTGACTACTACTACTTTGACTACTACTAACTTGACTACGACAACTACATACTTACTATTACTACTTACTACTACTACTCCACTCTGCTATTACTACTACTTACTACTATATCTTACTACTACTACTACTACGACTACTACTACTACCAGCACTAGTAATAGTGATAGTACTAGTAGTAGTAGTAGTAGTATAGAGTAGAGTTAGTAGTAGTAGTAGTTAGTAGTGTAGTAGTAGCAGCAGTAGTAGTAGTAGTAGTTAGTCGTAGTAGTAGTACTAGTTAGTAGTAGTAGTAGTAGTAGTAGTAGTAGTAGTAGTAGTACTACTACTACTACTACTACTACTACTACTACTACTACTACTACTACCCTGTAACGCCCCTCGCGGGGGTAGAAACCAACTGGGTGCAGTTTACTCCGTGGAGCGTCGTGTTGTCTCCTCCTCCACTCGTGTTCTGGCGCCGGACGTCCACCCCTGAGGCTCTCGGAAGTTTCCACAAGGCCCGCAGGTGGTCAGAAAAATGCCCCGAACATCGAAGACTGAGTTCTTCGAGGTTTCGTCTTCGACTCCGTTCCCAGATCCCCGACGTGGTGTCTGTTCATTGTGTCGGCGCCCTTGTTGTCGTGAAATTATCCTCGGAGGGCCTCTTTGTGTCGCTCCCGAGAGAGGGGAGGAGGGAGGAGGGAGGAGGGAAGGAGGAGGGAGGAGGGAGGAGGACGGATGGGGAGGAGGCGGATCTCGCGCACGGCGCTATCGGAGCCATCGAGGCTACGGATGAGGTAGGAGGAGGAGGAGGAGGAGGAGGAGGAAGAGGAGGAGGAGGAGGAGGAAGAAGAGGAGGAGGCGGAAAAGGAGGAGGAGGAGGGGGAGAAAGAGGAGGAGAAGGAGGAGGAAGAGGGGGAGGAAGGATTAAAAGCAGGACGGATGAGGAGGCGGATGACGACGACGAGCAGGAGGAGGAGAGGGAATGACGCCCGTCCTGGAGCCTCTTGGTGTCGCCTTGGCTCTCCTAGAGCGTGCTGGGGGTCCCGTGGCCTGTTTGGGCTCTTCGGGGCCTCTTGGGGCCTCTTGGAGCCTCGTGGGCCCTCTGGAGCTCCCTGAGTGTAATTCAAAATGGGTTCTCCGGGGGGCTCTTGAGATCTCGTGGGCTCTCCCGGGGCAGCCATGGGCCCTCCTGGAGCCTCCGTGGGCCCTCTAAGAACTCTCTCGCGGGGGCGGAATAAGGAAACAATTTCGCGCGTGGGGGCCTTTCCGTTGAGAAGGGGGGCGCGGTGCAGAGTGGGTCCTCCTGGGGCCCTCCGGAGATCTCGGAGGCACTCCCGAGGCCGCCATGGGCCCTCCTGGAGCCTCTGGGGGCCTCTAAAAAGCCTCTCGCGGGGGCTGAAAAGTGACGACAGGTTCACGGATGGGGGAGCCTTTCCGTCGAGAAGGGGAGCGCGGTGAAAGGTGATAAAGTGACGACAGTGTCGCATTTGAGGCCCCAAATCGTCTTTGGGCACCTCGGGCGCGAATCCCCCTCCCGCATAGTACGGTGCGATTTCCCCTCCCCCCGCTGTCCCGCCAGACCGCGGGAGGGTGATTTTTTGTGGTTTTCGCTTGTAAGAAACACTTCCCCCCCCCTGTCGACGGTGACGGAGGGCAGGCGGCGGGGGTGGGCGGGTTGACGGGGTGGCTGGTTGGCTGGGGTTGCGGGGTGGCTGGTTGGGCTGGTTGAGCTGGTTGAATTGTTTGGGTGGCAGGTTGGTTGGGCTGGCTGGTTGGGCTGGCTAGGGCAATTGGTTTCGACGACTACTACTACTACTACTACTACTACTACTACTACTACTACTACTACTACTACTACTACTACTACTACTACTACTACTACTACTACTACTACTACTACTACTACTACTACTACTACTACTACTACTACTACTACTACTACTACTACTACTACTACTACTACTTACTACTACTACTACTACTACTACTTACTACTACTACTACTACTACTACTACTACTACTACTACTACTACTACTACTACTACTACTACTACTACTACTACTACTACTACTACTACTACTACTACTACTACTACTACTACTACTACTACTACTACTACTACTACTACTACTACTACTACTACTACTACTACTACTACTACTACTACTACTACTACTACTACTACTACTACTACTACTACTACTACTACCACTACGCGCCAGCACCCAGTTGCGCCAGCATTGTTTCTTATGTTGTGGGAGGGCGGAACGTGTCCGTTGTTCCTTTCAACATGGCCAGTCTTGTCGTCGACGATGCGAAATGCGTGGCGGGAATGGGACGCGGCGCACATCCCGCGCGGACGTCAATGCGGTGTCCTGGGGTATCCTCCACTCGCACTGAAATGCCCGCGCAGCCCCCAGTTGTGCCATCACTGTTTCTTATGTTGTGGGAGGGCGGGTGGGAATGGGCATGCCATGCTTGACTCGCTCGAGCTGGCTAGCTTGACCCACACCCACACCCACACCCACACCCACACCCACACCCACACCCACACCCACACCCACACCCACACCCACACCCACACCCACACCCACACCCACACCCACACACACACACACACACACATACACACACAAATACACACAAACCCCAAGGTTCCCCATATTTTACCGTATTTTCTGGGTTTTCGTCTTCCCCCCCATGTCCCATTTTTCCTAGGAATCGACGACTCATTGTGTCTGTGTGCTGTTTCCCCTCCTGATCCTCGTCGCTCCCGGCAATGCCCTGCAGCCTGTAGTACTCTCGGAAGTCCGCGTTCTCCCTGACAGAGGCAGCTGGGTCCTGCGCGGCCTCGCCGGTGCCCTCCAGGTGGTGGCCCTCGAGCTCCAGGTGGGCGAAGAGCTTGTTCCGAGAGGGGAACAGCGCCCCGCAGACACCGCAGTGCAGCTGAGGCGGCGGGGCGGGAAGAGGAGCAGGAGGATCTGGAGGAGCAGGGGGGGCGGCAGCAGCAGGATGCGCCGGCGACGCCGGGCCGGGCCCCCCTGGGGCCATCGACTCCCAGTGCGGGCGCGAGGCTGTCCTTTGAGCCAGAGGCTACAGCGGGCCCGCGCTGCGCAGACGTCACCTGTACACCACCGCCGCGCCAGGGCCCAGGATGGCCCTCGCCGGGCATGGTGGCGGTGTATGAGAGCCTTCTGCGGACACTCGTTCACACGGGGAATCACGAACATACTTTTGGGGGGCGGAAAGATACGGATACGTGTTGTCCCCGGACCTCTCTTGGGGTGCGTTCTGACCAGAATTTCGAGGCGAATCCAGCGACGACAACGAGGATTCCCCAGGAGGACCAGGAAAGGCCGAAAACGAAGGGGGACGACACGTATCCTTCTCTTTTTCTCCCCCGACTTTGTTTTCTCCTGGAGATCCCTTTTGCGACCACCAGCCCAATCAACCTTCCCACCTCCACCTCGCCGAGCCGCCGTGGTGGGAGCCTGGGGTCGGCCAGGGTACAGAGGCTCACCGAAACCTTCTCTGTTGCACCCCCTCCTTGGCGCAGTCGTGGGAGTTGTCTATAGGGGAACAGAAAATGGCATAAACATAAAAAACTCGGAGGTCCGCGCAGATTTCTCGGATCGGTGCTGGACCCTTTTCCCTGGCGCGCGGAGCGCGCCAGGGGCGGCGCCGGAGGCGCCGCCGGGGGGCCCCAGCGCCGATCCGAGAAATCCGCGCGGACCTCCGAGTCTTGATGTTCATGCCACTTTTTGTTCCCGTAGTTTAAGTCGCATGTGGCCCCCGAGTAACGTGACCATCAGCGCGGGGACGAGTGAGCTCCCGTGGGAAGGGGTGCCGAGAGCGGTGGGAGGAGGAGGAGGAGGAGGAGGAGGGGGAGGAGGAGGAGGAGGAGGAGAGGAGGGAGAGGAGGAGGAGGAGGAGGAGGAGGAGGAGGAGGAGGGGGGGGGACCCGTCGCCGCGGGTCGGCCCCCGAGGGCGAGGCCTGCACGGGTCTGGCGCGGAACCCTGCCCCGACAGCGAAGACCCACCTCGCCCCAAGGCCCTGCCGGCCCGCTCCGCACGGCGACTGTGCCTGCGCCGGTTCCTTTGCAAGCACGCCGTTTTCGGCACCGCCTGATCGTTGCCTCCTCCTCCTCCTCCTCCTCCTCCTCCTCCTCCTCCTCCTCCTCCTCCTCTGCCTCCCCCCTCTCTCTCCGTGCCTCCCCCCTCCTCGAGCCCCTCCCTGGCCCACTGGTGGCTTTGCCTCCTCCCGGCCTTGCCGTGAGGCCGCGCTCCTTCTGTCCCCCTTCCAGCTTCGCGCGGCCCGCTTAGCTTCGACCGGAAGAGGTGCGCTCTCGACCCGCGCATCAAAACAAAAAGAGACTGTGCCTGCGAGGAGGGCGGATCTGGGGGAGAGAAAGAGGCAACGCCCGAGCCAGGGGGGGAGGAGAGAATGTTAGAAGGCAGCTGCTGGGAGACCTCTGTGGGAACGAGGAAGAGACTCTCCTGCAGCCAGATGATGAAGCAATTTGGCCCGAACAGCTCAGATTCAGCCCGGAATTGAGCTGGATTCGTCGGGTTTGCGTGGGATGGAAGTGGGATTAACTAGTTTTCGAACACGGATATACCGCGCCGGTGCTGAATTCAACCTCCCAGGAGATGCATCCGAAGGAGGGCAAGAGGTAAACAAGGGCGGCCAAGTGTAACGACTGTGATCTGGACCAGGCCCCGGTCATGGGAAACGAATCCAATCAAACAGCGACGCCCGAGACGTCAAACAAACGCCGCTGGACACGGTAAAACAGATTACCCGACACGTGCCCAACCCCTTCTCCACGCGAGGCAAGCATTTCCTTGAATGCTCCATCGAAAGGAACGCGCTGCGAAATATGCACGATCTGCGTGGCCCCACTCCGCCGTGCTTCCCAGGAGCCCACGACGGCGCAAACAATTGCGCACATCGAAACTCTCGAGTCAGCCGCGAGGTCTCAGATAATCCGCGCTGCCGTCCGCTCCGCCGTGCCTCCCAGGAGCCCACGACAGCGCGAACAGCTGTTCAGCTCGCGGCCGCCGCAGAAAGCGCGAGGTCTCACCTGAATCTGCGCGGACCTGCACTCCCCGGGGCCTCCCAGGAGCCCACGACAGAGGCGACAGTGGCGAAGCTTGCAGCCCCCGAGGGAGCCGCGAGGTCTCAAAATTGTCCATGTTGCCCTGCACTCCGTCGTGCCTCCCAGGAGCCCATGAAAGTGGCGACAAATGCGCGACGGGGCCGCGAGGTCTCAAATGTTCTGCGTTGCCCTGCACTCCGCCGTGCCTCCGAGGAGCCCACGACACAGGCGACGGTTGCGAAGCTTGCAGCCCCCGAGGGAGCCGAGAGGTCTCGCCTTCATCCGCGCTGCCCTCACCTCCGCCGTGCCTCCCAGGAGCCCACGAAAGCAGCGGCACTTTGGCACTTCGCAGCCCCCGACAGAGCCGCGAGGTCTCGTCTTCATCCGCGCTGCCCTCACCTCAGCCGTGCCCCAGCGGCACACGAAAGTGGCCACGGTTGCGCAGCTCGCAGCCCCCAACGGAGCCGCGAGGTCTCGTTTTCAGCATCGCTGCCCTCAGCTCCACCATGCCTCCCAGGAGCCCACGAACATGGCGACAGTTGAACACTTCGCAGCCCCCGAGGGAGCGGCGCGTTCGCGATGCCATCATCGCTGCCCTGCACTCCGCCGAGCCTCACAGGAGCCCACCAACATGGCGACAGTTGCGCACTTCGCAGCCCCCGGGGTGGCTCACAGGATGCAGGAGGAGTTAGGTTCAGGAGGCAGGGAGGCGGCGGGATGGTGGAAGGAGGGAGACGCGCGCACGGTGCTCTGTTCAACACGAGGACACAACGCAGGAGGGTTGGGAACTTGAGAACCGGACGCGCCCTTCAAGCAGATCGCGACGTCGTGGTGCAACACACAGCCTTTCTTCCAACCTTTGTAGCATATACACCCTGCGAAATACTTAAGAAATCATGGGTTAAGAAATTCATAGTCTCAGAAATTGAATAAAAACCCAACGTTTCCATTGACATCTTAAGATTTACATTGAAACGTTAAGAAAAATCGTGACTCTGGCCGAAAACTTGGGTTTTCTTAAGCATCGCCTGGAGTGTACCATTCAAGCAGCCAAGAGAACCCAATCATTGTGTGCACGATCCTGAGTCGATCCGCGAGGCCCGCACCTCCACCGCGCCTCCGAGGAGCCCGCGAAGGTGGCGGCGATTGCGCTGCTTCGCAGCCTCCGAGGGAGCCGCGAGCTCTCAACTTGGGCCCGGAGGAGGAGGAGGAGGAGGAGGAGGAGGAGGAGGAGGAGGACCCTCGCCTCCGCCGTGCCTCGCAGGAGCCCACGAGCTTGGCGACAGCTGCGCGCGCCGCGGCCCCCCCAAGGCTCCGCCTTGCCTCCCAGGAGCCCGCGCGAGTGGCAGCAGATGCGGGCCCGGCAGCCCCTGGGGGAGGCCGGAGGTCTCGAGTGCATACTCCAGATTTCGCAATAAAAGGGAGGGGGTCTGGACCCTCCAAGACAAGCCATTTCAGACCTCCCCCGTGGGAGAACCCTCCAAAACATCGTCCCCAGACCCCCCAGGCCCTCCAAGATAGCCTGGAAGAGACCCCCCCCCGAAATGAGACCCCCCTCCCTT